TTTGGGTAGCTGTACGTTTGAGACAGTTTAGCGTGACGTCATTTGTAATGGCTATTGAAAAATCTTATTATATTGAAAAAAGAATTCATGAAAAAATTTTATTAATTAATTTTATTTATTTTATAATACTAATATAACATGCGTGCAATTTAATTATGTCATATGAACTCCATGATACATTCTTCTGTGGTGAATGATATTTTATTTAAAGTGGGCTATTTTTTTTTTTTATAATAATTATTCTAGTTTTTTTTGAGTATTTCGATTCATTATATATATAATATATATATATATATATATATATATATATATATATATATATATATATATATATATATATATATATATATATATAAAAGACTCAAAATTAATATTCCACGAATATAATTTATTAACTGGAATCGTAATCACGATCCAGTTCATCAGAAGGATACAAATTAAGAAAGAAATATATAAATATCCGGGTTCGATTTCTTTTTTATTTTCTGCACTCAAGTTCATAAAGTCAACGCATCAAAATTACAAAAAAGAATTTTTGAAAAATATTTCTAGAAAAATAAAAACATTAGAGATAATACATAACAGCGATGGAAAACTTATTGAAGCCGTGATACTATGTAGGGGCCGATAAAATTATATTTAAAAAATATATTATAAATTCTTCTTTGGATTTTTCAAGAATCTCTAGATACATTTATGCAATGTCAATATATATATGATATATAATACACGGATTAGATGGAGGAGACCTGATATGTATTGATATGATGTTGTGTTGTCTATATAATAAATAGCATGAATTATATATTGTACAAGGAGCATTATTGAAACTGGAGTCTGCTATGACAGATGTGACATACATTGATCTTGTTACAGAGCGTTTCCACCTGTTTTCTGACCTGTTGTTTCTCATGAAGACGATTTGTTCCAGCAAAATAGCGCTCTCGCCACCATATTGTGCACGGATTGCCGGAAACGGTTTTCAAAAATACTCGGCTCTCTTCCAGGTATAGCACTGGGCCCCACGTTCGCTATACTTAAAACCAATGGAGTATGTATGGAGCATGTTGCAGACCTCAATAAATTTCTTGCAGCCACACCTAACAAACAGGACTCAGATATGGATAAACATGGATATACCGGATGTAACAGCAAATTTGTCCAAATCGTGTAAAAGAAAAAATATCTATTTGTTAGATTAAGCTTTGAACCTTTGTATCATAGAAATGACTAAAGATATATTACTAGATATGAAACTATTAGACTCTCCTTTGAGAAATAAGAATGTATAATTATTCACCAAGCTTAGAAGAAGAATCGTGATGACATGTTCATCATTAATTAATCATAGCTAAGAATCGGAAGCTCATGAAGGATTGAAATAAATTTCATATATATATATATATATATATATATATATATATATATATATATATATATATTATTCCAGGATCATTTTCAAACTTATTCAAGATGATCCTCGACCTCTCTATCCTTCTTTCTTTCCTGAAATAACAAGGTGTCTCACAGGTTTCACGTAAGATTTCATCTGCAAGTCATTTTTCACTTCTCTTTGGACTGTCATAGCTGAAACTCTTCTCACACGTGCCTAAAGTCTTATGGACTGAGTTGAATATTTTCTAATCCATCTCTTTAGCTCTAAGTAGAAATCATGAGCTCTCTTCCTGTTGTGACCTCCTGATCCAGTTATCCTCTCTGTTCCCTCTTTTTCTTAAATTATTCACCATTCTCTTGAGGGTTCTTGAACAGACTTTGAAAATTGTAGCCAGATTTTGAATGCTCGTACTATTACTGAAAGCGTGAATGATCTATTTCCTCTCACCATTTTTTGCCTTTGGGAAGACAGTGGGTCTGACGAAAAACAATGTTAACTTGTTCTCTTTCTATCTGAATAAATCAAAGGGCTTTTCAGTAATTCTTACGTCAAATGGTGTCAATATGGTTAAATGTCTGATCTGAAAACCTGGAAAAAAGAAACTCATTTAGTTTAGTGTTTTTTTTTAGATATTAAACATTTTATGGAATGAACAATTATGCCGTTACACGATTTGGATAGTTTTGCTGCTACACCTGGTATATACATCTATGTAATGACTTCAGACTTTATACCATGTCATGTTGCCGTTGTTATAAGTGTTCTAGTTGTTTCTAATTTTGGGCACTTGGGAAAATTACAACGAAAATATACAGGAGACTATTTTTAATTTTTGGTAAAGTATTTTTGAGGGATTTATATTTTTCTTCTTCTATAAGTATTTAATATTAATACAAATTTAAGGAAACAAAATATAAAATATGGCAGTTATTGATATAAGGATAACTGATTATGACGTTGAATTTGGGTGGTTCAATATTCTGGACTTGTGTCAGATAAAAGTAAGCGTAATAAATATCAAAATCTTTGATGATTCAAAAGATATTTGTTATGATCAATGCTTTGTGTGATTTTCTTTTTATTGATTAGGCACGAATATAATCGGTCAAAGATGTGGTGAACTCACCAGGTTTGTTAACTGCAAAGAATTTCCTATGTATTCGGCTTTCTCGTGTAACGCCACTGTTTCCTGCCACTTATATTTTTATATAAGTTCATCTGTTTACTTATCTTTATTTTAACGAAGATATGGCTTTATTTTGTCATTAAATGTTAAAGGTTAAAATTTTTTGAATTTAAAATAAACTTTTTGAATTAAGTCATGTTCCAAGGGCGTTAGTTGATTTGTTTTTCAGCGGCGTAATAAGTACTGTGGTTTATTTAATGTTGAAATCTAAATAATTTGAACACAATTTTATGGCTTCAACTAAATATATTTTGCAATTGTATGCTTTCAACTACAGATATAATGTATTTTTGGATAGTATTTCTGTAAAAAAAACACAAGACTATGAATGATACCATTGATTTGGTTGATTTTGTTTAGCGGCATATCAAACCTCTATGGGTTATTTAATGCCGAAATCTAAATAATTTGAAAATAATTTTATGGCTTCAACTAAATATATATTGAACGCAATTGTATGCTTTCAAAAACATGAAAATGTATTGTTATTTAAAAATTTAAAATTTTATATAAATATATTATATATATATATATATATATATATATATATATATATATATATATAAATGTATTGCTACTACTAATTTTTACTAAAAAATGTATTGTTATATTTTCATAGTGTTTTTTATTGTTTTAATTTGCCCATAGCTGGGGACCTTAAAGGTCCTACGTTAACATTCCCTCCACCCACCCCTGTCAGGGTGGGTTTGAGAACAACAGCAATTAAGAGGTGATACCAGACCCCTCAAAACCTCAAATCTCCCGATCAGAGGTCTTCCTGTCGGATGTCGTTTATCATCATACCATGGAAGTTGAGGTTTTTCAGGACGAAAATGATCAAGTCTATTCGAGTCATTTTTTTTTATTATCCAAAAATTGCCTGTTTTCCTGGAACGATAATTTTTGGTTTTCCGTAACAGACATTTGAAAATGAAAAAAAGCCAAGCCTATATTGATATTTAACCCATAAGTGGGGAAGAAAGAAGAGAATTGTATTTGTGTGAAAATGAACGCAATAAACTCGTTTGAACTCATATCGCTGATTCCATATTCTGCACCGATAACAGTTACGCAACCGCACATCTCATGTTTCGTATTTCTACCCTCAACTGAAACTTTAGGTAATGCCACTAATCCCTCTTCTGAAGGAGAGGAAATTATTTGGGTAAGCGGTGGTTGAGTAAACTAGATTGCTTGTGTAATAAATAACTTGATTTCGTATAAATTAAAAAAAAAAATAAAAAAAATCAGGCAAACAAGGCATCTGATCGAAAATTGGAACTTTTTGAAGAATTTAAAAATAAATAATCTTAATCGCTGTTCTTCCCAGGTCCACCCTGAAAAGCTTTTGAATTTAACATTTGTTAGGTTCCTCATTATGGGAAAATTTTTTTTTGATTTCTGTTTTATTTATTTTTACGATTTACAAAAAATATGATTTTTAATAAAAAATACAAATTCAATATATTTATAAAGAAATGATAAAGTTCAAAAATACATTTTTTATATAAAAATGACAAACAATACAACTTGAATAAAGTAAAAAATTTATTTTTATAGTTTTTTTTTTTTCCAATATATTTAACCTACAAAAAATATATATCTAAAAGAAAATATGCTTTTTACCAAAATATAAAATTATAAAAAAAATATTGTAATTGAAGCCATAAAAACTATTAGAAATTTTTTAAATTTCTGCATTAAATGAAAATCTGAGATGTTGAATAAATATTTAAAATAAAACAATAAACTTTCTTTCGGAATAACTTTTTTTAAACAACAGAAAAGTTTTTGATACATCTTTTTGTTTTATTTGACATTATTTCATTTGTAAAAGATATTCTTAACGCTAATAGTGAAATATTTTCAATAAAAAAATTTGTTCGTTACTTAAATTGAAATTTAGAATTTAATTGCATTCAAAAATTAAAATCAGTTAGATAATAATTTGATATTAAAGGAATATCAATTTTAAAAATTATTTTACATATTTTGTATTATAATGGATATATAATATCTGAAAAGATTCAATATGAATATCCGAAAAAAAAAATCAAAAAATATAGATCTATAGATTAGAGAAAATTGTAGACATGCTGATCGGGATGTATGAAAAGATAACAAATATAATTTTTGAATAAGCCACACTGGCCGTAGTGTCACGTGTCGGAAACCATGACAAAATATTAATTTGAAAAAATTCGGTCAGGATAATGATAATAAGGTGGAGAAATGATTTTTTTTTTTGAAGATAGAAATAGGATGGAAGGATCGCCTTCAAGAAAAACAAAAAAAAAATATAAATGGATCTTCAAAGTTTTCTAAATTTAATTATCTTTAAAACCAAACAAATGACTATGTTTTTCAAAACGATCGTCTAACATTTTTATTTACGCGTCCTCGAATTAAAAAAATAGT